CTTGCAGTGATGTTGCAGGAGGGAGAACAGAGGTTTCCAATGCAGCCCCAGCAACGTTTTGGCTGCAGTGAGACCAGAAAACTAAACCTATTTCTGCTGTTGCAGTAGGGTAAGATTTCAGTCATAATTTAGGAGAAGCACCATGGGAATTTGAACCTCATTTAGAATGGTGGACAAAGAAGAAAATTTTCCAAAACGGGTATGAAAATGGATCCTGGATAAAGCACAGAGACACAACAGAGGACTAAGTTCTTATAATGCAATCTAGAAGGGTCACGTGCACTCTGTACAACACTCAATGGGTGGGATTTATATGGTCTCAGATGTTGTTCCAGGACATTTCTTGTAAGTAAAAAACCGAAGAGGAGCCAGGAACATATAGAGGTGTCAGGACACACTCACTGAGGTCAACATGTCTCCCATGACTTATGCCATCCATTAGCTTAATAAGTGCAATTTACTTTTAAACTTAAATGATACTCTACAAGAAAAAGAAAGTAAAATTTGTACCAGAAATGGATGCAATTCTATTGATTGTACAACTCTATTCTATGAACGTTGTGTTCAATAACTACTTTAGTTGTTTTCACAGCCCATGAATGCTGGTGTGAATATATATGAATCCTGCTTGAAGTGAAAGATTTTCAATAAATCAACATATTAAAACCACAAATGTTGCTCCAAATATAAAGCATATTTTGCTCAATGTCTTCAAGCATAAAAATGAAGTAGATTAGCAATTTTGTTTTTGCCTGGATTTGACTGAACCCACAAAATAATCCACTAATCTCAAAATGTATTGAAAAGAAGCTCCAAGCTGCTTGGCCAGTGATATCTTGCCAGCATGGCCACAGGTTTAGAGGATTTTCTGATTAACTTTGTGATCGGTTGTTGTGGTTGCCACTCACATGTTTATTTTACATAGCTGAATTATTTCATAGCAGCAGAACAACCCTGCCATGTTGAGAGTTTAAGCCTCATTTAACCTTGGCACAGTGTTATTAAAAAGGATGGTTTCACAGATTTCTGCCATCCTGTTGCACAGCACGGTCTTGAGGGGTTACACAACGGACCTGAATTCCATGACATGTCAAATTATCCAGGACAGAAACAAACATTTCTGCAAAATCCACTGAATATTTGTAGGGTGGCGGGGTGGTTGGGAGTGCCTTTAATCTCTCAAACCTAAAACTAATCTAGAAATATTTATCCCATTCTCAGGTTAAGCTTGTGGCTTAGTGCGAGGACAGATGTATGTAGTAAGATCTCCCTGTTCTTCATCTGGAGATTATAAGATGCTTCATTGCCTTGTAATTTGACCTCCTTTCTCTCTTCTTTAGATGTAATGGCTGTCGATCCTCACCTCTAACCTCTGAAAAACATCCAAAACCAATAATGAAGCTGAAAAGCCCCTGCTATAGGGAAGCACTGGTATTACATGGCTTTGGTCAAGTTTGACTTGTCTGTCAACTCAGAATAGTGTATTTTGAGTAAATGCAGACTTGATTTGGCTGATGTTTTAAATAAGGCTCAGGCGTATTGGTATATTAGACAAGATCCCATACTAACAATGTTCCTTTGAAGCACAATCTAAGACTGTAACGGTTTTCTTTAAACATTCAAATTGGTGGAAAAGCCCTACAAACGTCTACCGACTTAGATAAGCATCTATTTTCTTCTTGAAAATGACTTAGTTGTGTTTTTCCATGCTGTTATAACATCAGAGGTCGTTCTCTGGGGAATCTGTTTTTGCTTGGTGCTTTCTGTCTTGCATCTTCCAGAGTGCATGAGGGGCAGGAAGCCCTTCCATAGCCTTAGCCCAGGGCAACAGCAGCGCATGAAGACATCAGTACCACGGCAGGAGGGGGAGACAGGAAAAACTACAACAGATATCGTGGTGGCAGCTGTGCATAGTGCAGGAATCAGTCTGAAAGTGCTCTGTCCCAACGGACAACAAACCAGGAGCTTATTCACGAGCTGCAACATCTGCATTTCTGTCAACGGTTTTTGTTATAAGGAAAGCAAGATGCTTCTCTAGTCAGAAATGGTTGAGTTTTTATAACCACAGTTCAGTGTGGGAAATTTTCATTAAGGTTAAACAGCATCCATTTATGTGTTTCTATGATTCCATTCCTTTGTAATAAAATTATTTTACATGGGTAAATAAATTGCAGTGAATCTACATCACCTTCATACAGCACGTTATAGTTTAGTACTAATATCAGAATTACCACCAACACCATTATACTATTTATCCAGGACTTCTAAAATTATTATACCCTCTTATTCAGGGTTTTTAAACCAAGCGTTACTGTATACTGTAAGAAAGCAATCACACCCAAAAAATAGTCCATATGAAAAACAATAGTCCAGGTTTTCCCCAGCTGTTTCACCTCTGAAAATGCAAGTGAAGAGTCAGCCACACAGCAGCACTTTACAAGCAAATACCACACACACCTGGCACAGCTGTCTGGCAGAGGGAAATTTGATACTATCTGTGCACCGGCAGGTCTTCTGGAGAGCTCAGCTTCACACAGAGCAAAATCCTGCTGTCTTCTACCTGTGCAGAACTGAGATCCAGTCTGCCTCAGAAGGCATCATGGACACATACCATTCTACTGGTGGCTTTTGTTGGGTAATTCACCTAAACATTCACCTGGTACTTTAATGAGTACCTATTACATCCACAATCTACACAAGTAGATTTGTATAAATTAAACCATTAAGAAAATGCCATATTGGCCTGTGCTTTCACAGAGAAAACCACTGAACTCCCACAGCTCAAAAGCGCTCTGCAATGCATCACAATCAGAGAACACAAAAGTCATCATTGTGCCTTAACCACTTGTAAACCAGAAGCTGGAAAGCATTTTCTCCAATTGAATAAAGATCCCCTTTTAGTATAGGGGTTGCAAAACTACAGTTTAGAAATGAATAACAATGAAGCCACTAATACACCTATAAAGATATCCACCTGTAAGGAACCCGAGAGTAGACTTAGGGCTCGGGCTGCTTTACACTTGATTGAAATGGCAGCTTCACCAAACTGCAATTCTTATGATTCTCTGTTCCAAGATTAATTCACTCACAGTTGCTATGAGGAGGGCTTTCAGAGAGCTGTCATTCTCACCCAGTCTGCTGCCTCGGTCTAGAATCACACTTTCGAGAAAAAGACTGTTGTACTCTATTTCAGAAAGAGCATTCTTAAGCCACCTTAATACACACTACCAAGGAAACATGAGGTGCTTCATTTATGAATAAAAGTTTGTAGGAGATGTTTACTGAACATTTAAACTGTTGGGCCTGATTGTTTTCTGTAAGAGCATTACAATCAGCTTGGGTGTTTTCTCAATTGACAGTGCAACAGCAAGCTCTAATTTCTACCTCTTAGAAAAGCTGCAGGAGCTGTCCCAGAGTTTGTTCTTCATGGAACACAGATTGCGTGATCCCTTCTTAACACGCTTACAGCACGAAGTGCCTCTGACATGGCGCAGCGCTGAAATGATGCTACACGAACAGGTCAGGCCCTTGTCAGTGCCCTTGGCAACACCTGGCTGCCTGCTGGAGTAACGCACGCATCCGTCTGGGCTCACACAGAGCAGCCTCCTCAGCTGAGGGTGTGGTACCACAGAGAGGGACGCACTCAGGAGCCTGTTTATCATCAGTTCAAGACCAGCAGTCGACTAGACCACCAGTGGGCTGTCCTGCAGTCTCTGGCTGTGGAATACACCTTCTCTCCCTTCCAGACTAGCGGATAACCAGGAATGGTTAAGTTTTCTGCAACCTTTATTCCATTATCTGTCTCAGGGATCTTCCCTGTAAAGAACTGGAGAATTTGCATGAATATCTAATATCCATTGGCACCATCTACAGTATCACATCAGACAGAGAATATTGCACAGAGAACAGAAACTCTGCCTCAGGATTTTCTCATCTTAAACCACCCAACTGCCTAGGAAGGTTTTACACGCAGAGATCAAGATTTGGGACCCACATCAGCAGAACATTAAAGTATGACAGTTATGAAGAAATATTTTATGCAATTCTGCAGACAAATATGCCACAGTGATAAAGGGGATTGGATGCATTTTTAATTTTAACAACTCTTAGACGGCAAGGCACCTACTAAGTGCTCAGTCCCCATCTGCTAGTAACACTGCAGCCGCAGAAACACGAAAACGGCTTCTACAGAAATCAGTACTGAATTAATTACTGTGGTAATACCTGAAGCGCAAACGATATCTGTAACAGTCCCACTACTGTTAACAAATAGGTTATCATTCATAAATTATATTATAATAAACTTGAATGTGAAATGATTCGCTATACTGAATGCAGTTTCGGCTCATTTACATTTGTTGCATATTTACCAGGGACAAAATGCTTAACTACTGTATAAAGGCAGAGGGTATTTCTTCAAAACCAGACTCAAGCTTTAAGCAAATGACACGCATCTTTTCAATGGATTACATTAAGACTCATAACCGAGCCTCTACCACAATCCACGAAACACACGGATTTCGTGGAATGTCGATAAGCTGTTTTACATTACACTTAAATCTTTTCAACATTTTCTGTGGTCAATTACATCGAGGTAAGGTTTTCGCATTAATTAACATCGCGATTGTGCGATGTTATGAGCTGTCCGTTAAGGTGATGTAAGACGGACCGGAGGCGAGCCGGACTACCTGCGGTGCTCTGAGCATCCGACAGGGACAGCACCCGGCGCGCTCGAGTCAGGGCTGTTTCCGAATAGGACCCCAAAGTCACCAAAACTTCCACAAGTCGGAGATCGCAGCTCCACACATTCAAGTAGAGATTTAAAACAGCATTCTCGGCCAATGTAGACATCTAAATTTAACGTCGAAGCACACAAAGTTTATTGTGGCTTATTTTCTCTATGTTCACCTCATAATGAGAATTGTTCAGGCTTTTGCGGCGTCTAAAAATATCGGGGTTGTGCCAGTGTGTTGTTAAAAAAAGGCAAAGCAAGCACTTACCTCACTCATGGTGTTAACGCGTGTAATCTTTGAGTGGGCTCGGAGCTTTCCCGGCGCTAGATACTGCCGATCAGAAATTACCAGTCTTCTTTCTCATAGTGGCTGGCCACCTACGGCAACCCTTTTTAAAGTATAGAGCCCAACTCCTCAATGTCATCACGCCTCCGCAGAGCCAATAGGAGTACCATCTGCTACTCTGATCACCCTCCTCCTCCTGAAGCCGCCACCCAGAGCCGTGAAATATTCATAGGCTCGTGTAAACCAATTTGAATGACTGGAGTGCGGCTGTGCGCGTCCACCTTCAGTACAGTTGTGAAGCCGACCAGTGAAGCGGTCAGGTATTCCTGTGAGGAGACCGTGCAAGTTTTCTTTTATTTCAGGGTATCTAGCTGGCTGAGAATCGAGAGACGGTGCACGAAAGGGGTACCTCCTTCCCCCAAAGTGCTCTTATCGTTTTGTACTGTAGCTAGAGGGTTCTGGGTTCAAATCCTGCGCGGGACGCTGCTATTATACAAGGTGGTTTGATAAACAGACTTTTGTAAATTCCCTGCTGTGTAAATCGGTATATGACTAAAAGTGCTCCATTTTTTAAAGTTAATTCTCAGTCCACGATTCCCTTTATACCGAGATCTTTCCCATTGCTATACTCTACATACTGGTCCCCTTTGTGTTACATTTTAATGTTTTATGTGTTTTCCCTTTCACTCGGTAAGTGGGGTAGGCGAGTTTCTATGGGCTAATGAAATTGCGTTTTCTTGTCCTTGCAGATATACAGCCCAGGGAGCGCGCGTGGCGTGGAAAGTGCAGAAGTCCCACGCTACCAGGCGGTGGCTGCCAGTCCCCGCTTCGGGAAACACTCAATCACCGTCGTGATGACTTCCACGGATCGCAAAAGTTCCTGTAGTGTTTGTTCGCTAGTCAGAGAAGAGGGTTGGTTTTATTTACCGGAGCTGCAGGACGGTTAATTTTCCTTTAGTGGAGATGAAAGAAGTAGCAGGCGTACCACACATCACAAAGCTCTTGCAATAAGACTGAAGCGTTTCGTGTATTAGTCCCTGGGTTAATGTTCCTCTGTGCGTATTGCTGTTCTGTTTTATTGTTAGAATCTGTAACAGTACGTTCACTTGTTAAACCTTCTGTTGAAAACAGTTAAATACCATTAAGTGAGAAGGCTCGGTACATCAATTTCAGTGGCTTTGTGTCATGTGAGTCTCCAGACGAGACTGACACTACGGTTACAAATAAGAAGAATACGATCCACAGTAAATAGTCTACCTTGTTTTAATTTAAAAAATAAAGTAGCTAAATATTTCAAATATTTCATCCTTCTTGAACAGGAATGAGTAGTTTGTTCCACAGTGAAGATCTGTTTTGAATTTCACAAGTCGACATCCTTTTAATCTTGTTCAGAATTCTTCACGAGAGACTCAAGGGCGTGGATGTGTCCAAAACACCAGATTTGCCCTTCTGCTCGAGATATGATGAAAATTCATTTTGCATGTGTTTCAAAGTCCTTTCCTTTTCATAAGCAAACATGATGAACTGGACTCTCTAGGAGAGACGTACAGTATCACTGCATTTCCAGTGAATGGTGCGTAATCCTAGTGATTGGGGATTTGCAGAAGCATTGTGCTGCACAAGACTCATTTTCTAGACTGCATTACGCAGAACCGTGGGCAGAGCATCAGTATTCCCCCAGAAGCAGCAGATCTGTCTCCAGGCATGGTAGACAGAGTGGGAGAAACAAAAAGATAATGATTGATTCTCCATCTAGGTGTGCATAGGACCACTGAATTTACAGCATTCTGCTTTTAAGGGGAATGGTCAGCAGAAAAAAAGCTTTTTAAACCACCTTTGAAGTCACAGTTGAATGGATTTGTGCAAGCACACACGTAGACACACATGTCATTTGTTCTCAGTGCATCTCAGGAGATGTGGGATCAAGTACCAGTTAAATTATGAGCCTGAGATGTCAAGAAGAACAATTTCAGACTCAAACTGGCTGTTTTGGGGGTTTTCCATGGAAACAACATCACTTGCTTTAACGTGGAACATGTTAACATTACATCAAGCCACACTTGTGTTTGCTACTAACCTTGGATAGACTCAGGGTCCCTGCATGTAAAAATGGTTCATGCTGATGCACATTAGTCTATGAACACTCAAGCATACATTTCCTCACTAAGTTTTTAATGTTAGTCCTGTTTAATTATTGAAAGGCAGGTATGATGTGATGTGTAGGTAGTGGATTGTATAACAGTGAAGTCCACTATAATTGTTTGCCAGAAAGTAGAATGATTTCTTAATTTGCATTGCCTATATATATATATTGCCTATATATGTCTATATATTAAAAACAACAACTTTTGGTTTGGCTAATGCTAAAGCAGGCTCTGCACAATAACTCGCTGTCTCAGGCTGCAAACAATTAGACCTTTCAAAGGAGGCTTTGTATTTTTGTCACATCTTGAGGATTATCCTGTTCATGAGCAGAACTGCTTTTCTGATAGTGATTGGAGCTCTATGATGCCTTTTGGGCCTTTAGATCTTAGATTTGTCTCAAAACCGTGTCAAGTGCTTACTGAAATATGTAGGATCTTTCCCAGGTCTGTGTGCCTTTCTGATTTCCAAGGAAAATGTTTTCATGTTTCTAACAGGACTGAGAAGAGTATCCTTGCAGAAAAGAAAAAATGCTCGGAGATGCAGGAGCTGTGTCAGCACTGTGCTGAGACTGGGGGGTATTATTAAGATGTCCATTTGCATGCACATTTAGTGAACGGGCTGCTGATTTTTATGATCCAAGTGTGTGTGCTATTAAAAGAAAGGAACAAACTTTCTGTTTGTTCTGCGGAAATGCAGTACCAGCACAGTGAAATCTACACAGGTACTATCT